TCCCAGTGAAGCCTTGAGCTCTGAGGTCAGGACCTGGCACCAGGTGTCACAGGGCTAGAGCCCCTCCCAGCTTCTCTTGCCCTGCCCCACTCCCAGGTGTCAGAGGCTTCTGGAAACCTGGCCTTCTGGTCCCAGTCTCTGTTTTTAAAGACTTATTTATTTGAGAGAGAGGGAGAGAGAGAGAGAGCATGCACAAGCACCGGGAAAGGCAGAGGGAGAGGGAGAGAGAATCTCAAGCAGAATCCCCGATGAACATGGAGTCCAATACAGGGCTCAATCTCACCATCCTGAGACCATGACCTGAGTCGAAACCAAGAGTTAGATGCTCAACCAACTGAGCCCCCCAGGCACCCCCCACCCCCAGCCCCTGTTTTTAACAGGATTGCATTAGGGCCTGGGGCTCAGTGTTCACTGCCATGTCCATGTCCATGCAGGATTTACAGGAAGTTCTGCTCTCTTCCTGGAACTGGCTTCGACATTCACCACCCCCTGCCCTGGCCATCCTCTAGCGCAGCCTACTCTGTGTGTGCCCTGGGGAGAGAGAGGTGAGTCTGCCCGTGGTGGCATCTGTGCACCAGGTCGGCTCTGGATTTGCACGAGAGGAGAGCCAATACAAAAGTCCCATACTCTCTTTGCAGCCTTTGTATAAGGCGCTCATGATTATTTCCCTTAGAATTCAGATCCAGGCAAGACTTTTCTTTCCTGCAGGCAAAGAGAGCATGTGAGTGTTTCATGCTTACTTTTTGCCTTGGTTCTCGGGAAGCGCAGTGCAAAACCAATGCTCAGGTGTAATGCCTCTCTCAGCTTGGGTTTTTCACATATCTGCCTCCCTCTACTACATACCTGTGCTCTTTTTGTGGCAGAGGGTCTTATTGAGTACTGGCTATACGCCTGGAACAGTGATAGATGCTAGGAATGCCCATGTGAGACAAAATATGATGAGATCCTGGCCTTCCAAGGGCTCACAGTCATATAGTAGATACCCCAAAGCAAACAGTTTTAAAATGCCCACGCAAGTGCTGTAATGAAGTGTCCCACAAGTGGTCTCTCTGGGTGCAGGGAGGAGAGAGGGGTTCATCTGACTAGGAGTGGAGAAGGGGGGTGATGGACTGAGAGGTCAGGCAAGGCTGCTGGAAGGATGGATAGTGGGCTTGCCAGGTAACATACAGGACATGGGAGTTCAGTTTAAATTTCACATAAACAGGGCGCCTGGGTGGCTCAGTTGGTTGGGCGACTGCCTTCGGCTCGGGTCGTGATCCTGGAGTCCCGGGATCGAGTCCCGCATCGGGCTCCCTGCTCGGCGGGGAGTCTGCTTCTCCCTCTGACCCTATCCCCTCTCATGTGCTCTCTCTCTCTCTCATTCTCTCTCTCAAATAAATAAAATCTTAAAAAAAATAAATTTCACATAAACAGGAATAACTTATGGTATAAGTATGTCCCATGCAATAATTGGGACATACTTATACCAAAAATATTAAAAACCAGATACCGTATTTTATTTCCCAAAGTAGCAGGACAGGCATTAATAGTTCTGTTTTACAGATGAGAGCTCTAGAGCCAGAGGGATAAAGTACAAGTCACCCAACCAGTGAGATGCAGAACCAAGGCATTACTCTGTATTTCCTGACTCTAGGCTAAAATGCTTTTCTCTGCATTGCACCAGACCCACCACCACCCAGCCGCAGCAGGACGCCCTCTTGCCCTACTGCATTGCTCCTGGCTGATGGAGAGGATGCTGAGGGTAGCTCTGGAGTGTCAGAAAAACCACTGATGGTAGGATAATGGGACAGAATAGGAGGAAGAGACTGAAAAGCGCCCCCCCCCGGCCTTTTTTTCTAGGAACAGGCAGGAAGGAGCTCTGTGTGTGGGAAGAGGCCACCAGGTAGGCACCTGGGAGGCCCCTCTGTGGCTCTGCTTGGCCCCAACATTCAGCTTTGGGCAACGGGAAGAGGAAGAATGCCTCCTTAAGCTCGTGTTATGAAGCAACAGGGAATGCACTTCCAACTTTCATGTGTGGGCATCTGGCAGTGTGGAAAAATCAGAACTTTTCTGAAATGAAAAACACAAGCTTAAAGTTGTATTTTTCCCCTGCTCATTCAAACTGCTCAAGGAGGCAAGATGTGCCTCCTGGCTCACAGCTCTTCCACTCTAGAACCCTGGTTTCTGGCAGCTCTGTCATGTCAATAGCATGTTTAAAGAAACTTTGTTCTCGAACTTTCTCCTCTACATACACACATTCTTGCCATTAGGGAAAGGGAGATGGGACTTTGAAGCACAAAGTTTTGATAATATGAAAAAGGACAAAACAACAACAACAACAAACCAACAACAACCCGTAGGCCCCTCTAAAATGCACTCTTTAGTCTGCTCTGCCTGGTGCTGCTATATAGTACATGAACTGATTGGCAGCAGGCTGTCCTTCTCCAAAATCTCAGGTGTGGTTTCAAGTCTATCAGTGGTACTGAGACTGAGTCAGTCTTTCCTTTCCAGCTGGGCCTTAGGAGGATCCAGGAGTAGGGGCGCCTGGGTGGCTCAGTCTTGAAGCATCTGCCTTCGGCTTAGGTCATGATCCCAGGGTCCTGGGATTGAGCCCCACATCGGGCTCCCTGTTCGACGGGAAGCCTGCTTCTCCCTCTCCCACTCCCCCAGCTTGTGTTCCCTCTTTTGATGTCTCTCTTTCTGTTAAATAAATAAAATCATTAAAAAAAAAAGGAGGAGCCAGGAGCATACTACTGGGTTTAGGATTCTGGGTTCTTGGTTATACCCACACTCCCTGTCTATCCTCCAGACAATTGTGTCCCTGGCGTGGCTCAAGAGGCCCCTCTCTCAAGCAGTAAGACCGAGTGGGGAATGGGGAGTTGGGGGTGATCAAAGTCCACAAAGAACAACCAGGTGTGGGGTAGGTCCTCTCATGAGAGGGACTGTGAGGTTTACTCCTGACTTGAGACCTCCGAGACTGGGGGAGGTGTAGTCACTTGGGCTACTTTCCAGAATTTTAATGGTGGACAGACCCAAGTCTTCCCACCATCTGGGGAGACTGCAAACATGAGTGTGAGGTCAGCTAAGCCTGGATTTCAGAGGTGAGAGGATGTTATCTACAAACCCAACTCTTTCCAATGAGTGAGTAAACAGACACATTTGGCTTGGGACTGAGGGCCTGGCTGGAGGAAAGAAAAAGACCCCCTACCAAACAGCATTTTTTTTCTCTAAATGCCCCTTGAATTGAGACACAGTTGCCTGGTCTCCTGCAGTCTATTCTCTGTGAGGAATGTCTACCCCAGCTTCTTGGGCTGAGCATTACCGATTGTTTAGGGATTAACCCTTGGCCATCCAAAGTCTTGCTCTATGGCTCTCATCTCTTTCACTCCATTCTGCCCCTCTTGCTTTGGTGCACCTTTCATTAGCCCGAAATGACAGCGGGGCTGACCGATTGCAGATGCTTCTAGGGTGAACAGTGCAGAATCACAATTTCTGTATGGGCATGAGTGCTTTAAGAAAAGAGCCTCCCTTCTTCACAAACTCTAGTAATGTTACTTGGAATCTGTCCATCAAGAAATTAGGTCTGCGGAGTCCAAAGCAAGCTTCCCCAGAGCTTTACAAACAAGCTGGCCCAGCCAGGCAGCACCTCCTATGGTATCTGCCTTGAGCTCTGAGATCTGTGGCCCATTTGCCACATGGGGTGGTATCACACTGCTCAGATGTGGGTTTTCGGTATCCTTGGCCTCCCTCCACCCACACTTCAAGCAGGGTGGAAGCCCATGAGCTGCTTGCTGTTGTCACCTGTCCCTGGGGTCAGTCATGGTCATACTCCCAGCTCTCTGGAGCTTGACCCTTCCTCTCAGGGTGATGTTTAAAGTATACAAAAAATTTCCAGGAACTCTGAGGGCGGGAAACTTCTGTTTCTTTGGGGGAGGGGGTTGCCTACAGGAGAAGGCCTGGCTGTTGTTTCTGCTAATACACTCTTTTCGCCTTCTGCCTTAATGGGGACCCTTGGTTTTGACTTGAGGTTCCTGGGCCAGCTCTGAATGGAGCATGTGTGCCTGAGTGAGGGGCTTGATATTTACACAAGCCACACTGATAAGTGCACATGTGTTTTTAATGTTTTGGCTTTCTCCACCACAAACATGTCAATGTGTATATGTGTGCGCACACAGATGTGCTGTCAGGCTGGGACTCGGGTAGGTCTTTTTCTTTTCTTTAATTTTCTTGTCTTTTCTTTTCTTGTCCTCCCGAAGCTAACACCTTTGTGAGTAATATTTCCTCCCACACTGAGCAGCGTGGCAACAATGACCAGCACCCTCCGGTGTGTTTGAGGGCCACCGTCTGGTTGTCCCACCTGGGAAGGAGCTGCATTTTTAAACCAGCGAGCAGCCCCAACTGCACCTTCCCCCTTGGTTTTGCAGGACCCGAGCCGGACCGGCTGGGGATTTAAAAGCAGACCTCGGTTGGTTCAGCCTTCATGAGCCCGGGTTTGGGTTTGTCCGAAACCGTCTGCCTTTGTACTGCAGCTGAGGAGGACAAAACCCAAGAGGTGGGCTGCTTGTCTAGTGGGCTGCTGCTTGAAATTAGGAAAAAGCGTAAAAAATAAAAAGTCTTCATTATCACCTGGATTTGCAAGTACTGATAAGCTTTCTTGCTTCTCTTCTAGCCGACTCAAGTTGACCAGCGTTAACTCCCCTCTTTATCCACCCCACACTTCTATCTATTCCTTCTTTCTCTCCCTGTCCTTTTCTTCTTCTTTTCCTCTCCTTTCCCCACTTCTTCCGTTATTTATTTATTTATTTATTTATTTATTTATTTATTTATTTATTTATTTATTTTTGGTTTTGTTTTTTAAGGGGTGTTGACCTGGGTTTAGTTCTAGTAAACCGAACCCCCTTGCAAGTGAAGCGATTGGTTAATTGCGCCGGTGACTGACATGCTAAATGAGTGCGGCTCGCAGCCGCCGGGAGCTGATTGGCTGCGCGGGGAGACTCCGAGGGCTCTGCAACAGGAGCACCGGGCACTCGAGTCCTGCAGCCTCGGGAGTAGGTGCCGCGCGCCCGCCCGCCCGCCCGCCCGCCCGCCGCGCGTCCCGGAGCCGGGGCAGCACTCGGGCCGCCGCGCGCGCTCCTCTCCCCGCGCGAGCTCCAGCCGCGGCGCCTGCCGCAGGCCGAGGGTAGCCACCCGCCGAGGACCGGGCAAGGAGCGCGCGGCCGCCGAGCCGGGCAGCGCTGGGGAGGGCGCCTTTTGTCCCTGGAGATCCCTGGAAGTTTGCGGCGGGACGCGCGCGGGGAGGCGGCCGAGGCAGCCCCGACGTCGCGGGAGCGAGTGCCCCGAGCCAGCATGGGCAGCGGGCGCGGCGCGGGGGGCCGCCGCTGGGCCGCCTCGGGCGTGCTGCTGGCGCTGGCCGCCGGGCTCCTGGCCGCGGGCTCGGCCAGCGAGTACGACTACGTGAGCTTCCAGTCGGACATCGGCTCCTACCAGAGCGGGCGCTTCTACACCAAGCCGCCGCAGTGCGTGGACATCCCGGTGGACCTGAGGCTGTGCCACAACGTGGGCTACAAGAAGATGGTGCTGCCCAACCTGCTGGAGCACGAGACCATGGCCGAGGTGAAGCAGCAGGCCAGCAGCTGGGTGCCCCTGCTCAACAAGAACTGCCACATCGGCACCCAGGTCTTCCTCTGCTCGCTTTTCGCGCCAGTCTGCCTCGACCGGCCCATCTACCCGTGTCGCTGGCTCTGCGAGGCCGTGCGCGACTCGTGCGAGCCCGTCATGCAGTTCTTCGGCTTCTACTGGCCCGAGATGCTCAAGTGTGACAAGTTCCCCGAGGGGGACGTCTGCATCGCCATGACCCCGCCCAATGCCACCGAAGCCTCCAAGCCCCAAGGTCAGGCCGGCCCTTAACACGCGCGCGAGCCCCCCAACCCGGGCGGGCGGGGACCCAGGGGACCCGCCGCGGGGAAAGCCCCTGCCACTCGGACCCCCGCCCCGCCGCTCCTCCCGGGAGTTCGGACGTGCTCCCTGGAGGCTGCTCTCAAGCTGTGCGGAACGAGTTTTAAAAAGCCTCTCGTCCGTCCGAGGTGTCGCTTAGCACCTCTACCGACCCAGGTGCACGGCCGGCAGCGGCGGCTGCGCCTCGGCCCCTAGCAAGCTCGATGCGGTGCCTGGAGCGGCTCTCTGGGATCCAGGCTCGCTTTTTCCATACCTGAGACAAAGCCTTATCCTCCATATGAAAGGAGAGCCCTTCTCCCTCTGGGAGGGAACCGAGTCCCCGTGGAAGTTTTTAACACCCGAGACGGGATGCCCCAGGAGGAAAAAACCCAAACCCAAAGTGTGGAAAGCCTAGGAAGGCCGAGGAAATGCTAAGGCGCAGCTTTGTTTATTTTCATAGGTTCGATGAGGAGTAAAAAAAATATCCACCGCCCCCCCCCCCCTTCCCCGAGCTTTCCTTAGCCAGTCATTCAGCCAAGTAGCTCTGGGAGGGTTGCAGAGCTGGCTGAGAAAAAAAAGTTTAGAAACAGGATTTCTGTTTTTCCACCCTTTTCAGGTAACTGCCTGGGGGAGGGCTGGGGGCTGGAAAGTGTGTACTCTCATTCTTGCATACCCCCTGCTTTTCCCATTTACACAAATCCTCAGGTAATTAGAAAGATAAAAATGCAATTAGCTCATTGTTCATCTCTCCTCGGGGAGTGGGGCTGCGCAAATTGGAGACTTTCTGAACAGCTCCACGGAGGAGCCTGAGCCTCCTCTGGAACCCCTCCCACTTAAAGGGCAGCTCTTGAGTGGGAGGGAAAAAAATCCCGGAGAGGCAAAAGCCAACTCAAGACAAACAAAAAAATCCAGCGTGGTGGCCTGACTTTTATAGGAACGAATTCTTCAGGAGCAGAGTTGAGGCTGAAAGATGTGCCCAAAGTCCCATAGTCCAGGATGGGGAGCCATACCTAGATGCGATTAGCACAGGGGCGCTGTCCGGAGGGGGTCTGAGGAGGGGGTTTAGGGTGGGGGACCGGCTCTTGGCTGACTTAGTTCATCTTGAAGTGATGCCTAAAAGAGAAATGTCCCCTGAAGGGTTTACTCTTCCAGTGTGAGGGTGGTAGTATGGGGAAAGGGAGTCCCGAATTTGCAATGCTCCTGCTTATTCTAGGGAGGGAGGAGATTGGTCCAAAGTGACCGGCATTGGGTGGCCTGGGCCCCTGCCAGGTGGGAGAGACCGCAGTCTGGCTGCACTGGCCAGGGCACCTCTGCTTGCCCCTTCCTGGGTGTCTGCACAGGGTTAACCTTTGGGGGAAGTGTGGCCCTTTGGGAGCAAGAGCTCAGCAATTACCTAGAGCAAACAAAGCACTTTGTGTTCTGCCGGTGTGGAGCCATCCCCGGCAGGCAGCCCCCAGGCTTTTCCTTCTCCCCTTCCTCACTGGCTGGTCACTAGCTGGCTGGGAGATTAGCCCAGCTCTGCCCCAGAGGCCTCTACTCCACTCCCGGTTGTGTTTAGGGAAGAGCCCATGCCCATGGAGACCTTTGGGGGAACACATTTTGACGGGAGGATGGGGGACTGGCCAAGGTGCCTACATATAGAAGGGGAAGAATCCTCCCAACTGACCCCCTCAAAGGCTGGAGTGGAGTGGGGGGTATCATATAATTGCTGTCTTGCCTTTGACCCCTGGGCTGCTGTTTACCTGACTGCTGCCTCCTGAGTCTGGGCCTTGGTACCATCTTCCTCTGTCCTCCCCTCTAGCCCAGGAGTGCCTAGGCAGGCACCCTCCCAAGGCCAGCTGCCGAGTAGAGATGAGCCACGAGAAGACCAGTCAGGTGTGGGGCTTGGGAACTGGTTCTCCCCTCATTGTTTTTGGTGAAAGGTTCTGGCCAGAGAGGAGAGAGCACCCACTCCTCCCCAGCACTGCAGCCCTTCAGTGGGAGGGAGCCCCACAGGAGCCCCACATGACTTCCTCTGAGGTGGCAGGGCCATTGTCAGCTGAGCATGGAGGTGGGAAGGCTGTGTGTGTGTGTGTGTGTGTGTGTGTTTGCAGGGGCAGGTTGAGACAGACCAAACTACCAGTCCTTATGACCTTATGGCTAGTGGCTCCAGAATGGGAACTGGTACTTTGGGGTAAGAATAAATACACAGGCACTACTTTTATTCTTTCTCTTTAGTCTTTGAAATTAAAGCCAAATTTTCAAGGCAACACATATCTCTGCGTGCTATTCATGTAAATGGGCATGTTTTGGGGTCTTGGGCACACCTTAGGGGCCATGTGCTAGTAAAGATCAACTTGATAACGAGAGAGAAGTCAAAAGATACTTTTCCCTCCAAAAGGCTGACGCCCCGGCTACATCAGCATCTGTCCCTATCTGTTACAGGAGAGGCATAACTTTATCAACTTTCCAGGAAAGTTATTTCTAAATCTTTACGCTTACATTAGACCTATCCATTCCCAGGCCAGTACATTGTTGCTTCCCCTTCCAGCCAGGTTTCACTGACTGAAGTTGGATGAATGAGCATATATTTTTATTTTTATTTTTTTTGTTCAGATGTGTCATGCGTTAGATCAGCTTAGCCGTTCTAGTCACGGATTGCAGGGCCCACGGTGCCCTCACATGTCCGGAGAGCCTCCAGAGGGTCTGTCTCAGGGTGTCAAGGAGCTGGCCAGGGAAGACCTGCTGTGTGTGTGAGAGAGAAAGTTTGCGTGTAAATTTTGTGTGTGTGTGTGTGTATTGTGTGTGTGTTTGTATAAGAGCGGGAGAGACAGCTGTGTCCATGTGTGTCCTGATTTTTAAAAAATCACTTCATTGTGCCTCTAGTGTTAGACTGTCTCCTCTCCTCCCCCTAAAATATTAGTGAAACACAAAACCTTTCAGTTTTTGGTTCCTTTGCTTTAAACATTATTTTAAATCTACCTTAGACCAGCAGTTTAGTTCTACCTCTCAGACGGATGGTGGATTTCTCCCGCTGAGGCGGCCTGCAGGGCCCCAAGGACACACCAGAGGGGGGCATAGATGAATATTGCATTACACATTCTTCCTTTCCCTGGATCAAGCTGCTCCAGAGTTGGCCAAAAGAAAAGTCAAGATGGGGGGTTAGCTCACCCCATGAGCTCTTTCTACCTTGAGAAGCGCTGAAGGTCAAACATTCATTGGTGGGCCTGAGGAACATGGCCCCGTGGACTACAGAGCCCCTCAGGGAACTCAGAGGGTCCAGAGGGGATGATGTGAGTGTGCCAAGGGAACAGTGTTTGATATTCTCACTGCCCGGGCCCTGCTACTTGTTCAGTCAAGATTATATTCATAAAAACTTCCAGTGTGATAACTTCCACTTAAAAAAAGTAAATAAGAGAACAAGGAAAACCCCAAAGCACGGTTCACTCTCCCGGGATAGGTAACATGGTCCTTCCCATATTTCAGGACTCCTTCTGTTTTTCTCCCCATGGAAGCAAGAACCATAATGCGAAATTCTGGGTAAGTTTTTCCCGTTGTCAGAAACATTACCTCCAGAACCTAATTTCAAGTTCTGGCTGAAAAGCAAATTTCCAAATTCTGGGCCAAAAGACAGTCACACAGTCTTCTGCTTGGAGAAGGTTCTGGAGAACCTTGGAGAAGTCTTCTGCTTGGCTGTGGTTCTTGCTGCGCTGAGTATCTGGATGGTGTTTGGCCCTGGGTACAGAGTGAATGTGGGAGAGGAATCTGAAGAACAATGAAAGGGTGTGGTCCCTGCGTGGAAGTGGGGGTGACTGGCTGTGGACCAGGATGTCCTGGGGGCAGCACTGGCCTGGCAGGGCTGTGTGGCTCTCTCCATACCGTCTCCACTGTGGGAGGCCTGGCCCATTTCACTGAGCCACAGGGGACCTCACAGGCAGGAGACTCTGCCACGGAGGCCACCGGAAAGGGCAGGACAAAGGGCCTTCCATCTTACTGTTTTACCTTGGGTGACTTTCCTCTGCTCCTCAGCGCCAGACTGGCTTGGACCCCGGTGCTTTGCCAGGGGCAGAGTGCCCTTCGAATGTGCTAGATTTCCTAGATCATGGATTAAACTCCTCGTGGTTGATGGATGACGGTGGGGATGGTGGTGATGATGACAGGCCACGTCACCCGTCCGGGGATTCCGCTGTCCCGCTTTCTCGCTGGCCTCCCACAGAGACACTCCACCTCCCAGGGGTCTCCTCCAGCAGCATTTTGGCCTGGAGGAGGCCTCTGGCTCTGGCCTCAGAAGTCTCCTCCCCCTGTGCCTAGTGCCTGGCAGTGGCCCTCATGCCTACCACACACACACCTCCTCTTCAAAGCACTTCACAGTGTTGTGAAAATGCCTTCAGAGGGTTCCCCTCTCCCTTTTGGCAGCTCTTGCTGGTGCTGCCCCCAGCCCCCACCCAGCTGGCCCTGCCTCCGCCCACCCGGCACAGGCAGGAACTCGCACTGCAATAGCCCTTTTGGAGAGGGGTGTTCGGGGCCTGTGGCTAGGGCTGGTGTGTCTGAGTTTCCTTCTTGGCTCCTAGAGAGCAGGTCAGATTGATCTGCTGTCCCACTGGGAGTTTGGGAATGGGAAGGGGGCAGGGATCAGAGAGGGGTATTTAAGGGCGAGGGGAGAAAACCAGAAACAAACACCTGGAATAGATGCGCACTCCCCATCAAGCCACAGTTCAAAGACCCGCCCCTGCCTAGCCCCAGATTAGGTTGGTTTACGTGGTTGTGCCGTATTCCACAGTTCTAGCCCCCAGGTTTTCAAGAAACTGTGTCTGTTGGCTTTAGGTCCAAGGTTCCAGGACTCTTTGATTCTCCAGCTGCCCTTCAGAAATTCCAGAAGACCTTTAACTACTTCCAGCCTGGTCCCAGGGATAGCTCCTTCCAGAACCCCTATCCCTGTCACTCACAGCTCCTTTTTCTCCTCCTTTCCCTTCCTAGGCACAACCGTGTGTCCTCCGTGTGACAATGAGTTGAAATCTGAAGCCATAATCGAACATCTCTGTGCGAGCGAGTTTGGTAAGAAAGCACCCCTGGCCACCTCTGGGAGGTTTGGCATAGTCCCTGCTTCTTCCTGGTCTGCGTCCCTGGGGAACAGAGAGCCTGTGGATGCCTCTTTCTGGAGCTTCATATTCTCTCCCTTCATTCTCCCCCAGTGGTTGCCTTTCTCAGGCCCATGGTAATCTAGATAGGGTGGAGAACTGGCTCGTTTTTATTAAAGTCAAACTTGGCTTCTGCCCTTCTGTGTGAAGGATCTCTGGACAGGTTTTTGGGGACCTTCACTAGATGTGGAGGGTGGCAGATTCGAGGACAGATGGGGAGGAGTTAGGGAGCAACACCACTCCTTGGATGCTCCCAGGAGGTGTACCCAGGAGGTCCTGCCAGCTGCTTGGCGGGCCTTCCCTCCCTCCACACTGGCTCTTTCTCCATCCACCCCTAGGTGTCAGCACCACTCTGCCCAGGCTCTGAAATGCTGGGGAGGTGGAGTCCAGCCGCTGGGGGCATTCAGATGGTCCCCCCATCAGGTCCTTCCTGGCACAGGAAATTGACCTCCCTCCAGTAGCGAGAATTCTCTCCCTTCTTCCCAAACCACTCTGGGTTAAAAAAGAATTCCAAATCAGTCCTTAGAGCCCCAAGAGAAGGGCTGGGTGTGGCCTGGGGAGCAGATCTCAGGGGGCCTTTTAGGGATGCCCCCTGTAGTCAGCCTCATAGAAGACCTGAACAGCTCCAGACGCCCTTAGCCTGTCTCCTCTGGGAAAGGTAAACGTCAACCACATTCGTTTGGAAGGCTGACTCCTTCTATTTCATATGGATGCTGAGAAGTGGCTCTGCTTAGGCCAGGCCCGCTTTGCTGAAGGAAGGTTCAGCCTGACACTGAGCGGTGCATTTCTCACAGTTCCTGCTTCGTGTCCCTGAGGCTGCAGTTCGTGCAGAATTCTTATCAGGAAAAGCAGAATGGTAGGTAATGTGAGTCTTTGGCCATTCAGGGCGACCAACTGCATGTTTTCATTAACCAAGCATATTAAAGCATAAGGAAGGGGCTTCCACTGGTCAAGGGCTGTGTCCGAGTCACGCGAATATGACCTGTACACGCAAATGGAAGGAAATCATACACGTGACACACATATTCTCAGGACTGTCATTGTGACTGAGGACGGAAGTGGGAGAACTCAGACCCTTTGCTGCAAAGAGCTTCTTGAGGGTGGATATGCCTTGCATGTTTTGTTTGTGCACTAGGCATCTCTGCCTCCTTTGTTCTTGGTGGGGGCCTGCAGGACCTCTAGGAAGTTTGGTCTAGAATGCATTTTCCTGCCTGTCTTTGAGGCATATCCTTTTTTCTGGTTGCCATTTTAAATGAACCCAAAGGAAATGGTAGAGGGCATCTGAGGTGATGTGTGCAGACTGTGCGAACCCTTCCATCATCTGGTAGTAACTTTTGTTTCTTGATGCTCACCTCCTTGCTTCATTGGGGGTGCCAAGAGCCCAGCTGAGCATGGCAGGTCTCCTGCTGTAGAGTCTGTGGGTGCACAGTCCCACGCTGCATTAGCAACAAGCTTTTCTTCCACAAATGGGGTTGAGATTCCTTCCCCAAGATGCATTTGGGACAGAGAAAAAAAAAATCTCTCGGAAATCCTGGGGCAGGAAGAATCTGTTGAGATAGGCTGTGATCCCAAAGAATTATTTCGAGGGATAACTGAGGGGCCCTGTTTGGATTTCACTGATACTCTTCAGGTATTGTAAATGAGCACACTCACTTTTAGAAGTTGGCCCCCTGATATTTGCGCAAATCCAGGAACCATATTAAAGTAAACTCTGGAAGGTAATATATTGGCTGATGTTTTATGCTCCTGTGACTTCTATCAGGCTCAACTCCTGAGGGAAGAGTGATGGAAAACTCTGGAATTCAGTGTATGAAGGAAGTGATTGACTGACCATGCCTTCCTATTCGGGAGCTCAAATTCAATGTATCTGGTCATTCATTGATTCATGTATCCATTCATTCAACATTTCTGGAGGGCAAAGCACTGTGCTAGACACCATACTCAAAAATACTTACCTAGAGTAAATTACAATTTAATTAAAAATTTTTTCTTAAACACTGACCAAACACTAATCAGTGATTTCCTAGAGAGTCATGGAGTCATGAGATAACTCACCAGCTGAGAAGGGGGCTGTGGGAACTCAAGGCCAAGTTAATGTTCAGGACTTGTTAATGTTAAGGTGTGAGAAGAGAATCCGTGTCTTTATGCTCGGAGTCTTGGGAACTTACCACCCTGAACTTGTCATCAGGTCTCCTCCCTCCACTCCCACTTACTCATCAAAGTTCTGGTAATTGGGGGTTTTGTGGCAACTAGTTCAACTAGAGACATTCCCTGGAAGTGGGCCGAAGAGGCAGGCTTTGGGAAAGAATTCGAACGTGGAAGGTTGACCTTATGGTGTAGGGTAAGGATCTAGAGGGTGCTCAGGTAACCCCCTGGGACAGCTGCCCTTGCCCCCGCTGTAGTAGCTGCCTACAAAGTCAGCAAGCCGCCTGCTTACTGCTTATGGGAGGGAGGGGTAGATCTCGTTTTAATAGCCAGTCAGGTCTTGGCAGATCTGACTGATGAGTTGTTTGGGACTGTGTTCCATACGCCCTGAGCTGATTTTCTTCTTGGCTTCAGAGAATTTCTGAGGTCCTCCTGGACCCTACAGGTCATCATATCAAGTCCACTTACTTCATAAATAAGGAATCTGACTTTGCCACCTGGAGTTCTTTTACTCTCTGGCCTGCTGCCTTCCTCATTTAAGAGAAGATGAACAGCCACTGGGCTTTGCCACAGAGGCATTTATCCCCTCAGCATGGGTATGGTGTATGCCAGGCTTCTTTGAACTGGGTGCAAGAGAGACTTTTTAGTTTTTTGTTTGTAATGTTCTTATAAGGCCATAAATCGGATTCCCTCCCCACCCCCCCACTCTGCAGGGGCTGAGCTTAACGCTGCCCTTCTCAGCATCCTAGAGAATGCAGCCTTGTTGAGAAACTTGTTTCTTAGCTCAGTTCATTTCAAGTAAGTGAGGCAGTCAGCCACGCTGATGGGATTCAGTTAGGAAACAAAGAAATTCAGCAATGCAAGCTGACACACAACAGAGAAGAAAAAGAATGTTTTACTCTCTACTCCAGGGATCAAACTTCGCATTAAGTGGCCCTGACATCCCCGGTGGGAAGACATCAGGTTGTTGGAAGGCTTTCTGTGAGCTCGAGGAATAAGGGGGTGTATTCCTTCTGGGTCAGTGCACACACTCGCCCTCCTGCCAATGCAACCTCAGACTCCTGCAGCCTCTGTGGAGCTGGGCGTGCACAGCCCGTCACCTCTTTCGCAGGCGGTGCATTTTAAAACCTCTGGCAGGTCTGCTTGGCCACTAGTCTCTCTACCTCTGCACCGTACCCCGCCCCTCAGTTCTGAGCGCATTTCTTTTCCCCAACAGGGAAAGGCATCAGTAGAAACACCTGTGTGCTGATACTCAGGAATGCAGGTGGATTAGCCTGGATCAAGTACCAGATGTGGGAAAGCCGAAAGTTAGATGGCACAAAGTCTCTGAATTCAACATGGTGGCCAACCTGTCTGCTGTGCTGAAATTGGGACTCACTGCTCTGCTTTTTGTTCTCTCGGCTTTTCCTGCTATGTGACAACAGGGTGCTGCTCCTTTCTCTTCAACATGCCAATATCGTATTTGCAAGCTGCCCCACTCATAATCCTGCTGGTAACAACTTGGTGCCCATAGGCATCTTTCCCTCACGTTAGCTTATCCCACAGGTGTGAAGATCTGATTTATAATTGCTGGGAGGTTAGGACCCCGCCTCCGGCCAGTCTCTCTGGCTTCTCCAGTATCTGTAAACACCCTTAAGCTTTTCTGCTAGAAATGTGCATGATGATCTACTTCTGCTAAGAGTTCAGAGCTTCCTCTCATACTGGCTTCTCCAGTTTCTTGAGCCTGAGAGTTCAGGTGGCAACTTCTTTACCCCAGTATTTTCTTGCTGTGGAAAAAAAGATTTCTTTGCCCCCAGAAATTTTCCTTGCCTTCTGGAAGGATTTTTTTTTTTCCATTTATATGTTTCCTCATAAAGAGTAAAACCATACTTTGTAATACCAAAAGGAGTCAAATAGGAAAGGAAAGAAACCAGCTCTCATTGTTAGCATTTGGGAGTATTTCCTAGAAGAAGTCTTTTCAGAGGTTCCTGAAACTTCACTAATCTGTTCTTGCTCTGCCTTAACTCGTCTTTCAAGGTGCCTTGGCTGTGCGGCTCTTTGGAGGCACAGTGTTTTACTCTGAAGGGCGCTTTGATCTCTTGCAAAATGTAGATTCAGCCTTTCCAAGCTAAACCTTGGGTTTCCTCCCGCAGGTGAGGAAAACTGGCTGCCAGCGCAGTAATTGCGACATCTGTGAGCTGCTGGAGAGCAGGGTCTCTAATCTGCACCGTTTTACCTAATGTGAGATGCCCACTAATCATGAGATGCGCTGTTCGTTTTGTAGCAGTGACAAAGGAAGCATGCTTCACGTGAAAATGTGAAGATAATCCGTGTCTTAGAATGAACAAAACAAGGCCTGTTTGTACTCAAACAGTCCCAGGAGCAATCTCTTCCCCATGGTAGGCATGAAATAAAAGTTTGTCAGATGGGATGGTAGGGGAGATGGAAATTGGACTCGGACTTCTTTTTTTTTAAGTAAAAGGAGAAAGCTCCTTTCCAGTGACTATGTACAACATGAAGGAAAACTTCACACTCTGTTTTGGGTGACTGAGTGTATATGCATGTATGTTAAAAACAACAAAAGCACATCCAGAAATCTAGTTCAGTGAAAGTAAAATTAAATAGGGGAGAAGGCACACAGCTCCTGGAGTGGAGTTGGCAGGCTGAAGACCCCTGAAATACATCTCCCATCCACAGATCTGTAAATACTTGGGAGGGATTGTTAAGGCATTTCATGTGAGGGAAAACGTGGGGTTGGCGCTTTCATCCACGGGAAGCATAGCCCACAGCTCG